AAACGATTCTGTTTGAACATAGACACACTTGAGATTCATATTTCATGCACTCTTTCTGTCACAGTCATATACTCCTGTTTTGACCAAGGCAGAGAACGGGCTCATGTATCATTGTCATTTATATCAAACCCTTTGACTGCGGATAATGCATAATTATGAGAAATGACTAATGATGGTGTTATGGAGCCTGCATATCATATGCATTCACATCTGTTTAATCAAAGCTGGAGAGAGCAACGATTTCAGATTGTTGCGTCCCTCTGTGTGGCCATGAGAGTAATTTCTTGGGGAAGACGTGCTCATGAATAAATACGTTGTCTTTGCGTGTATGTCTTCAGCCGACATAAACATATCGTCATTGGTTTCTCTTCTGGTCAACTGAGCATGCCGCGTCTGTGTCCGCCTGATTTGTCTCCCCGTCTCTTCTAATGAGCATATCAAATACATATCTGTCTCTGTGACCTGCAAAATGGGAGAACCCAAGTCCTTTTGAGTGTCTTTACAACAAATTGTTAGAAAGAGGTGGACGCATTGCGAAGAGATACGGTCGCGATGACAGTAAAGAGTGACATTTTCACAGTACAGAAAGGTGTTGAGTAAAACATATCAGCATCTCCACAGTTCTTCATCAAACTTGCACAACTGTTATAAAATGATGGTGTTAGGGCACTGAATACAACCTAGCAACTATGATTGACTTTCTTCTACCATTTTACACAGCCGTGCATTCCTTGTGTCCAATTTTCAAATGAATCAAAAAGAGATTATGTCCATTCCAATGAGTTGGTTAACTGAAGTAATCAAAACTGTAATCACTTGTGCTGTGGCTCAATACAGGCATGCAGCCATGTCCAATAACACAAAGATCTCCATCAGCACACGCTGTCTTTCCTCCAGGTCAGCCCACCTGTGATCAGAAATTTCAATTTCACGTTTGCTGTATTGATTAGAGAATTGAGTCAATTATGGGTGACAACATGAGATTGAACGGCGCAATCCATATTGTGTGTGCTCAAGAGCACAGAATAAGCCTCCATTATCATTTCCTCGTTTCAATGTCGGGTTCGAGACATTACAGGGTTTGAAGGGAACGATGCAAAAAATATTAACTAAGAACTAAGAATAGGATAAGTTTAAATGGTTATCCGTAATACTTCCTTCGAGTGACGTCACTGATTAGTACATGTCCAGCCATGTTTTCCAGATTGTGCAGTTTTAACGCTTGAGTTTTGCTGACATCAGCTTTACTTCCTTGTAAAGGAATATTAATGTATTAATATTAATAATAATTCAAAATAAATACATTACATTACAGTCATTTAGCAGACGCTTTTCTCCAAAGCGACTTACAATTCAGATTCTATCACATTTCTACACCGTAGGCACAGCTACGGGAGCTATTTTGGGGTTAAGTGTCTTGCTCAAGGACACATCGACATGAGACTAGCAGAGCCGGAGCCGGGGATCGAACCGCCGATCCTCTGAATACATTTTGTTTTCACCTAACCCAATTAAAACCCAATACGTAGATTAATACTGATCCTTTCCTTTGCCATACACTCTGCTTGCATATCAAAATGACCATAAACCCTTGTTATTACTACAAATAAGGAAATAGTTCATGTTTTATATGTTGTAACGGTTGTGTTAAAAATCATAACTTTATTGTGTTTGCCAAAAAGCCACTCACAGACAAATAAATGTTATTATATAGTGATGTTACTTATGTTTGGGCCAGTTAGACCCTAGAAAGGTCCATGTTAGAAATCTTAACATATAGTTAATAATAACAGAAATCCAAATTGGCTCATTTGGGAGGGTGTTAAAACACCAATCATAGATTCTGAACATACAATTTTCCATTGTATTTAACAGTGTTTTACAGTAGCGACTGGTAAAACATGTTCTCAGTTAGAGATTATATTGATAAGTAATTCTTGTAAAATTAGAAAAATGAATGAAGCGTCAAGCTTGGTATATATTCTGAGCTATTACTGTAAAGAGGACATTGGGGTTAACTGAATAAATTGCCATTGCACCAAAGGTTGATCAGTTCAGTCTCTGACACAACAATCCTGAAAAATAAATAAAAAACACAAAACATCCCCAACTCAGGACAATAAAGAAAAACAGGATGATATTCAGATCCCAAACATCAAAACAACAACACTGCCACAACAGTACGAATCAGACACCCCAGGCTTCGGCTATAATCTGTTTTGCCTATGACTAAGGAGGCGGTTGGGTGTGTGTGATGTTTGCATTCCAACAATACATGTTGGTTCTGTTCATTTGACGGGGCCTTATGTGGCAGTGACTGACTGAGCCTAATCTTTACCGCTCATCCTTAATCTAATCCCATCAAATCGGCTATTCTAATCTGCTTTGTGAAGGCTTATTTAACTAATCGTTGCACACAGTGTCAGTGCAGTGGATGAGTGAGACATTATGTGCTTGTGACTCAGCAAATGATGCTGGCGAGGCTGTTTGTTTATAAAGGTCAGCCTTAAGACCCTGAATGAGATTAGGTCTTCTAAGCGACAGGCTACCGAGTGAATTTAGACAATCTTTCACACTTTGCTTATTTAACCTTATTTGATTGGTTGCTCACATTTGAAATCTTAGCATTAACTTATCTTGCACTAGAGAAGGAAATAAATCAAGAGAGTAAAAAGGGCCAATCTGTTTTGAGAGGATGCACCCTTAAAGTCACACCCCTATCCTTCCCTAAATAAACACAACTATAAAGACCTAATGGGTTCATACCAGGAGACGACGAGAGGGCCCATTTAGAGCCCTGTAAATCAGGTTCAGCTGGCTGTTTAATTAACTTGTAAATTAATGCACCATGCTGTGTAAATTGGAGGGTGATAAATATTTATGTAGCTATCTAAGAAAAGGGCAAGGACGTATCACAGACAGAACCAGATTGGGTTTGCAAGCAGCACAGTTTATGGGACAATCGCCCACCTTATTGGTATTTTATAGACAGCTGATTTGCATTTCTTATGCTTCCTGGGTGATGAAAAAAGAAAGAGTCACTGCCCCCGCTCAGTTTATGTTTATCTCCCGGTATCTGATCATGGTATTATACAAGGCAAGCTGTTATGGACTTTAAATGCGTCTCACAGGGACAATCTGTTCGTCATTTATCAGAGGTTTAAGCAACTGTAGACGGTGCAAATGTTAAATAAAGCACCACATTCTCAATATAGTCATTCTGCAGCAGTTGTATGTCATCAGGGGGTGTGAAAGTTCAGATCCAAGCCCACATCTGTCATGTGGGAAACCTAATATCAACAGAGAGGGAACCCTCCTCATCCTACAGGGAGACATCTGAGCCAGGAGGTTTAGGCAGCCAGTGTTGCATCTATTTATATCAATATGGCTAAATGGCACTTTAGGTAAGGCAGAGGTAAACACAGTTGCTCAAATTGTGAAAAGAAAACAAATTGCAAAGAGCACAAAATCTACTCATCACTGCCCGTCAACCAAATCTGTAAGAGGAAGGTTATTTGAGGGACGGATCACAAGAGGTCGTTGCCTGATGTGATTCTTTTCTCATGCTGGCAGAAGTCAAATCATTGCTTCAGGTGGCATAATTGACCTGCACGTGCCACGGTAATCGACCTTGCTGCTGAGAACAGGGTGGTGTGATGCTGAGCCAGCACTGTGGGATCTGAAGGAAAATGGGGATATAAAGTGGGGTGTGTGTGTGTGTGTGTGTGTGTGTGTGTGTGTGTGTGTGTGAGGTGGGGGTAGTTTTCAACATGTTATCATCGTGGGACATGCAACTATTAATGAGTGGCAGAGCAGTGATATGACTGATTATTGATAGATAATGTGCTTGGCAGTGGAGATTAGTCCCCAATTAATTACGGTTCATGATTCAGTTTCAATGGCAGCCTCTACATTTACTGTGTACACGTCAGGACACACTGAACGGCCTACAGCCGGTTTTCCCTCTGTTAGGGAAGGAAGAGGCGACCTCATTTCCTCAGGAAGTAGAAGGCTATTGGCTGCCAGTTACACACTCTCATCACCGCTGCACCACGGTACCCAGCTGGCTCCAGCATTTCATCATTACGCACGTTGACGCAATCAAGATCAGGAGAATTTTTTTGCATCATCATGTTTTTTTTTTTTTTACGATAACCATATTTGAGTCATTCCTCTGTTTCACTGACAGGGGGAGGTCTATTTCTTGTAGATTAAGCGTTAACCTACTGTAACCGTAAATATTTTGAGCACATATGCTGAATTATAGGTGTCGCACCGTCATCGGAAACGGACGGTAGCCGAGTTTCTTTCGAGCTCCAGGCAAACATGATTAAAGCAGTGGGTGACTGCGTATACGCAATAAATCACACTGAATTAGATCAGCTCTTCCCCGCTTATTGTCCGTTTAACTGATGATATTCTTGCTGGGCGATGATTGTTCACTAGTTGGGGAGGACTGGAAGAACTCCCTCTACAGAAATGTTAAATATATATGGTCCAAAGGTTGTGAAAACGCTAGGAATAAGAATAAACTATATGGGAATCAAATGTATTGTCTTTTATTTTGGTGTCCAAATAAAAGACGCGATATTTGATACATTAAGTACAAAAGCACAATAAAAACTCAAAGTTTGAAAATAATAATAATATGCTCTGCGCATATACTCACATATACAGGTTACTATTTATTCTAATGTGTTTTGTAATCCACCTCAAATCGGTGACGCAAAAAAAAGGCTTTTTTTGGCCCGGAACATTTCGTTTGGTATATTTAGATGAGCAAAAATCACAGCAGTCAAATGTTGGATCACAGGACCAGAGCTGCTATAAATAAAGTCCTGGCTGACTACGCTCAAATTAGTCGGAAGAGGGCAGAGTGATAGTAGGAGGGCTTTTTCCGGCTCTCTCACTCCAGCATTCACCCTGTTTCCACCAATAAGCCCAATGAGCCGAGTGCGCACCGCCCACTGTCGATGTGTGTATTTTTTTCTCCTCCTTTCCGTTTTTTTTTTTTTTCACAACAGGACTGGATGTGTAGAACGTCACATGTTGTACCCCCTCCTCAGTCAGGACACTAGCAGACATGTGTTATTTATTGCTCAGCTGTGGGAGAAGACGAACGCTCGCACAACCGGCTCTGGAAATAGACGATTAAAATAAAGCGCGTTTCTTTAGCAACTCGAGGAGAGGAAGCATTGGGTCTGATAGCGAAGGACACGAGAATGGCGAGTCCGCCAAACACGGGAGATCCGACGTCTTTGCCTAGTAATGCGAACAACAACATCAAGAAGTGCGGATATCTAAAGAAGCAGAAACACGGACACAAGCGCTATTTCGTTTTAAAAGAGCCGAGCGAAGGTTTACCTGCCCGGCTGGAGTACTACGAGAGCGAGAAGAAATGGAAAAACAAATCGGCCGCGAAGAGGGTTATTCCTCTGGACTGCTGTCTCAACATCAACAAGAGAGCGGACGCAAAATACAAATATCTTATTGCTCTTTATACCAAGGACGAGTATTTTGCCGTGGCGGCAGAAAACGAGCAGGAGCAGGAGGGCTGGTACCGGGTGCTGACGGATTTAATGGCAGAGGGGAAAGTATACGACGGCTCAGCGTCCAACTCCGCGTCCTCGCTGGTTGGCTTCGACGAGGAGAGCTACGGTGTAATAACGCCGGTTACCGCCGCCTACAAGGAGATATGGCAAGTGAATCTGAAATCCAAAGGCTTGGGACAAAGCAGACATTTGATCGGAGTGTACCGGCTCTGTCTCTCCAGCCGGACTATCAGCTTTGTCAAGCTGAACTCGGAGGTTGCCTCCGTCATTTTACAGCTGATGAATATCCGGAGGTGCGGCCATTCTGACAGCTTTTTCTTCATAGAGGTTGGTCGATCTGCAGCCACGGGTCCGGGGGAGTTTTGGATGCAGGCGGACGACTCTGTGGTGGCGCAAAATATCCACGAAACTATCTTGGAGGCGATGAAAGCCATGAAGGAGCTGTCGGAGTTCCGTCCGCGCAGCAAAAGCCAGTCCTCTGGTACAAACCCCATATCTGTCCCCACACGGAGGCACCTGAACAATCTGCCCCCCAGCCAGACCGGGCTCCCCCGGCGGTCGCGCACTGACAGCATGGCCATGACCTCTCCTGTGAGCAAATTTTCCTCCTGTCGAATACGCACGGCCAGCGAGGGCGATGGCACCATGGCACGCCCCATGTCAGTGACTGGCAGCCCCCTAAGCCCAGGGGTCCACAGGACCCTCCTGACCAGATCTCACACCATTTCAATGCGCCCTTGTCGGACATTTGAATCTTCTTCCCTCCAGCACAGTAAGTCCATGTCTATGCCCCTGTCTCCGACCCCACCCATAGCCACCCCTAGCCTGGGGAATCTGTCCTCCTACCCAGACACCAGTGCTCCTCGCCCCTCCAGCTGCAGTGCCTCCTTCTCAGGCTCCCCCAGTGATGCAGGTTTCATATCATGTGAGGAGTATGGCTCTAGCCCTGCAGACACACGGGACCCGAGATTGCTGCTCACCCTACGCAGCAACACACCCGAGTCTCTCAAAGCTGACACCCCCCCCTCCCGGGACGGCAGTGAGCTTGATGGCTACATGTTGATGGAGCGGCAGAATGGTTACCGCCGCTTAGCGGAGCTGGACAAGGCTTACCGAAAGCGAACATACTCGCTCACTACCCCCCGCCAGCAGAGAGGTCCCCCCCAAGTATCTTCAGCCTCCCTGGATGAGTACACTCTTATGAGGGCCACTTACAACAGTGGAAGCCAGTCTTCTCGGAGGTGTCACACTGCCTCCCCTAAAGGTGTGCATCCTGAGGATTTCAGGGATGTTCAGATCAGTGTTAGCAGTCACCAAGGTGACAGTGGCTATATGCCCATGATGCCAGGTGTGACACCACAGACATCATGGTCCAAGCATGGCCTCTATATGCCCATGAGCCCCATGTGTGTTTCCGCACCAAAGCAGATCATCAACCCCCGTTCACACTCTTCAGCGGGGCTGGCCCCACACACAGACTCCCCTGGGAGTGTTTCTCTGGAGGACAGCGGCTATATGCGGATGTGGTGCGGAACCAAGATGTCGGTGGAGAACACTGATGGAAAGCTCACCAACGGAGAGTACCTGAACATGTCTCCTGTTGACTCGCTGGTGTCTCCCACACCCTCAGACTACATCCTCAGTCCTCCAGGCGGAGATCCCCACCCCCAGCAACATCACAAACAGCCTTATTCTTACAGCTCTCTACCACACTCACTAAAAGGCCAGTTGCAGCGCAATGGGTCCACAGACAAAGACCAGTATGTGGTGATGTGTTTACAAAGACAGCGGATAGAAGAGGAGTCCAACTACTGTCCTGTCACTCCAGGAGACTCTGTGGCCAGCAGCTCTCCGGGGGCACCAAGCACCCATTCCTCTGCCCTATCTCCTCTCAGAGTGGCTCGGGTAGACGGAGGTCTGGGACACCGGAGTCGGGTGTGTCGGCCCACCCGCCTGGCTCTGGAATCCCTCAGAACACTACCATGTATGAGCGAACACCCGCTTCCCTCAGAGCCACGCAGCCCTGGAGAGTACATAAAGATAGACTTTAGTAGTGCTACTCACAACCTGCTGGTGTCCACAGTGTCAGCGAGCTCTGAGTCTTCTGTGAGTTTAATGTGTGCAGAGAAGGGATTGCTTCCGCTCGCAGACTATGCTAATATTGACATCAGCTCCCCGGGTCACCTTGGCTCACACCAACCCAGGGGTTCCCCCACTGCAGGGTGCCTAAGCCAAACACCTGAAGTCTTGACTTGCCCTAGTCTGGTGAACGCCCAAGAAGAAGAGAAAAAAAGCACAGAGAGACAGGCAGAGAAGAGGGGGATGGTAGAGGAATATCCTCTCCAACAGCAGGTGAGCCTGGTGTGTCAGCCTGCTCCAGTCAAGGATGACTACACTGAGATGACTTTCAGTCCACCTGCTCCTCTACCTGCTCTCTGCACCACTGATGATGTTCCCCTCCCCACCAGCCCCACTGCCTGTGTCCAGAGACTCAGCCTCGAGAGCAGCATTGTGAATGGGGTGCCCCCTGTGCAAGTGGACTCATTTCTCCTGGGGGGTCCTTCGTTAACTCTCCCCCTTGTGGATCCACACAGAGGGGCCAAAGTGATCCGGGCTGACCCTCAGGGGCGGCGGCGGCACAGCTCTGAGACCTTCTCCTCCACCACCACTGTCACACCAGTGTGCCCATCCTTTGCTCATGACACCAAACGGCACAGCTCTGCCTCTGTGGAGAACGTATCCCACACTGTTTGCAGCTCCGAGGGTTCTGACGAGGACTACGGTAGCAACAGCCCCATGTGCAGGGAGATGTCAGCTGGTTATCAAAATGGACTGAACTACATTGCCTTAAACTTGATGGAGGGAAACCTTGGCGGATGCAGGTTAGGGGGCTGCGATGGACTCCTGAGGTTCAAGACGACAGCCTGTGGCTGCAAGGGGGGCATGAATGGGTTCAACACCAGCCCCTACGCCAGCATGGGATTCAAGGAGACTGCCACTGCTGTGAAAGGTGAGTGTTTCCATATATGCCAAACAAATTCATTAATTTAGCAGGCTTTCATTCATGAAGGGAGTGGTGTCAGGGCTTAGGAGTAGGATAGAGATCCGCCTCAGGGCTACTCTTCTCTGCAGAGATAGGCTGCCCGTTGCTAAGCAGCACTTCTGAGCTAATTTTCATTCAAAGTTGATATCAATGGTTCTTTTTTTTTAAAAAAACATGCAGAGAAAAAACTGCTTTATATGTGTGTCTGCAGTTTAGCCCACGTGTTTAACACTGACTATGGATTTAACCCACTGACTACATACATACATTATTTGAACCATGCCCTTTTATATTAGACTAATTATCACATGTCTTACTGCTGTTCAAATCAGAGGGAAACTGGCCACAATTATATTCTATAGTGTTATAGTGTATAAGCTAATGAAATGACAGTTATGCCTGTTTTACATGAACAGTGGTTAGGCTACATACATGTTGTGTGTTAGAACAGCATATTTGAGTCTGAAAGGCCACGGTAGTAGAGTGAAGTAAAGTTGTTTTGAGCATTGCTGTTGGGTGGAGGCTGCGATGTTTAGATAGGGTTAGTCACCTACTCGTCACACCCAGGACACATTGACGAATCTCAAGGCTGGTCGACACTGTTTGCATGGTCTTTGATCCGTGTCAAACTGCACAGATATTAGAGATATTGGAGCAGAAAGCACTGGAGAACAAGGATGTGTCCTTCCAAATAAAAGCTGATCTTGAAGAGAAACAGAAAAGTGTATTTCAATTCCGGATTCGCTTTGGAATTGAATGGATTTTTATTTTGAAAGGCCGGACTTGTTATACTTTATCCCGGCTCGCTTGATGCTGCTGTTTTGTGTGAATGGTCTGCTCTGGTCTCCCCTCAGTGACGCAGTTTTATTCCACGTCAGTATTTCAAAAGACAACTTGTCTGATCCAGTGACGCATGCAGCACGACACATGATGCGCACATGAAAGTAGCTAAAACAGGCAGAGAATAGGCTACGTCTTTATTTTCCATTTTATAACCGTCGATTGCATCTTTTATAAGAAGACAATTGAAATCCTTATGATGAAGTGTCTTTGTGGGAAGGAGCAGTTACCATCAAAACATTGCCTTTCCCATTATTTTCTTCACCGTTGCGTCAGTGGCTTTTCATGCATCTCTAGATGGTGGGGGTGGTTTTCCGGGACATGTCAGACGTTGCTGTTGTTGGAACAGAAAATACACTGTGTTGGGATCATCGTGAGTCAGAAGGGCAGTGTTCCTGATGGTGAAATACAAGAGTTTAATTGGTGTTTGTGGTTTCACAACCACCTTTGTCTCTGTCTCTGTCGGCTCTCATGCTCTGAGTGCAGTCAGCGTGGGGCTTGGTGCAAGTCATCGTGTTCCCCAGAAAAACAAGTGAGTCAGTTGTTTATCAATTGTCAGGTACTGGGTTTCAGGACTGGAATGTGGGCAGTGTGCAAAGGTTGCTGGGAGAGGTGAATGCTCCCTTGTTTTTCTAACCTGGTGGGATGGACTCAGAGAGGAGGGTGCGGGGGGGGGGTAGAGGATTCTTTTTTTTCTTTCTTTTTACTGTGAGCAACTTCACAAACACCCTGAAGAAAGCGTTTCACACAGAAAGGGGGCACTGACTAATGCTTCGTACAAACACATATGACTTGTACTTTGCACACACATACGTATTTGTGAACCCTCGCACTCATTGAGGTCCAGTTACAGGGCTAAAATATTGAATTTGCGTACCACAATGGAGACGTTTCTCCAAGGTTACAAGAGCAGGGGAGGAGGAGAGAGGGAGCTGAGGAACAATGGTGAAAGATGCATGACTTGTTTTGTTTTTCATGTACAACAAAGTAGACAATTGAGCTGTCTGGAGGGGGAGAGAGTGAGGGGGAGGAGTAAGAAGGAAAGGAAGAAAAGAAACGCAGAAAGAGATAAAGATCATTCAGGTGAGAGTTGGCCTTTGCTACTGTATTTCGGTTACATAAGCCCTTCCTAACAAACAAATATCCTTGTACATAATAGTGAATGACTCTGCTCTCTGATCGGGGATGTGACCAGTGTGGCATGTCATTGATACTCTCATCAAAACACAAATGCACTTCTGTTGCTCGTGTGTGTGAGAGGAAAAAGAGGGCATGACTGTTTACTACAAGATGGCAGACTTTACCACATTCTCTTCTTCTCACTGACCGAACTATAGTTCCATGCAGTGCATCAGTTTGAAACGGGAACATTAGGAAGTCAAATCCCCTGTCCTTATTTCACATCTGAAGTTTTTGGGGAGAGACGGAGAAGAAAGGGAGACATCGCTCCATCCTGCCCATCTGTTTGTGGAGGTTTTTTTATGGCTCACCGAGGAATAGTTAGTTGAGAGGTTACACTGTTGTTGTTTGGGTTTTGGCCCTGACATGGCGGTCCGGGGAGGGGGGGGGGGGGGGGTGATGGGGCAGAGGAGGGGGGGGCTGTTTAGCTTTCAGTGCACGCCTTCTGGCCCTGTCCACAATGTCAGTTACTTGACCTTTGAACTAGCGCTGTGTGTGTGAGAGACTCTGAGCGGGGGGGAGGATATTGTCATAGGGGCTTGTCCAGAAATCCACACATCGCCATCTCTGTGGCAAAAGCCAAACAGGGAGGCGTGTGTGCTATTTTTTTTTTTTTACGACTTCTTACTCCCATTCTCTGGCTGTCCTCATCGCACCGCTCCTTTTACAGTAAATCTCTCAAGCCACTTCTCTTTTCTCCATTAAAGCTGCTTTATCATCCTCCTATCGCCTTCTTTTCCCACCCTGGTCCTCGTCTATCGAATGTATCTCTCTCTGGCTAAACGGCGCAGACAGGGGATGAGACTGACTCACACTCTCCATGCCTTTCATTTGTGGGCCCAGACTGCCTCACCACCACCACCCAAACACACACTCATTCCCACTTTGTCTGTGTGTCTTCCTCTCCTGTGTGTGTGCACATATACGCAGCCATCAGCAGATGGCGGAGGGCGGTGGGTGTAGGGGGGGGTCAGGGGGTTTTGCACCTGCCCTGCCAAGCAGTGCTCACTGGTTATCAGGCCCTTCGAAGGAGAGTGACAATACGCTAATGACTGGCCACCATCTGCCACAACAACAGGGAGAAAGTGGGGGTGTGGCAAGGCAGTTTCAAGAACCCCCCCCCACACACACACACACACACACACACACAGACGCACCTTCTCCACACTTGTGTTTTTCCTGTTGTTAACTGACCTCAGTGGACATTGGCTTTTCACACAAGAGGCCATTAACTGTGCATTAAACAATTAGCTAATCATATCTGATCAGAGACACTAATGAGGCTCTCACTCCTCTTGCTGCTTGGTTTATCTTGCACTGCCAACAACAATAACACACAATTAATATACAACTGGTTAGAAGGATTGATTTGAAGTGTTAAGAGCTCATTGCTCCGATTGATGGAAAATCAGCAGCTATTTTGATGACCGATTTATCGTTTTTCAAACAAAAATTCCAAACTTTCTCTGGTTCCAGCTTCACTAATTTGAGGATATAGACTAAATCATTTGTCAAATGATGAATGGTAAATGAAAATAATAGCTATAGTTGCAGCCGTCGAAATGTCTTTTGTTGTGAATCAGGAGCTGGCTGCTAAATAATTAACCTTTTTTTTTTTTTTTTTTTTTTTTTTTTTTTTTTTTAATGCAAGAGGCAACCGAAGAAACATGTTTGTCTTTCAGGTTTGATCTTTGACAGAAAAGCTCCATATATACAGTATGTAGTGTAGAAAGTACACTTCTCTAGTTAAATAATAGGGTTAGGTTTTATTTGTGCAGCCCATTAGCCTGCCGAGATTGCATTTTCAGGAACATTCAGCCTTTGTCCTCACCTGTTTTGTACACGCCTCCCCTACAGGTACAGGTACAGGTACAGGTACACACACACACACACACACACACAGCGCTCCTGGCCGTCTGATACATAACTATTTGAGTAAAGTAGGGCGGGATGTTCCAGTCCTCGATGGGGAAAAAAAAAAAAAAAAAAAGTCAACCATCCATATCCTCAATTTAGCTTTGAGTTAAGAAGGATTACATTCACTTCAGGATTAGACATTGTTGAGTGGCTTGTTTTGTCTAGAGGATGAGGAAGAGATGGAGCTTCTGTGTGTGACATGAGTGCACATGTCCTATAGTACTTGCACACAACAGGTCCACTGGCTTCAGGCCGATTTGAAGTTTTTCATTCATGAATAGTCCAGCACATCATAAACACTTTTCCATCTCTCTGGACCCTGATACTGTATTAATCCTCCATAGAGGTGTATAATATAGTTAAGCATAGGATTAGCTCCTAACTGGGAGGATTTGCTGCTTTTCTTGGTCATGATGATCGTATATCAAAAATCGTAGAGTTTTACCCTGTTGGTTAGACTAAACAATCACAATTATATGACTTTTTATACACCAAATGCTTTTGTAATTAATCAGGAAAAAATGAAAATAACCAGTTGTCGGTTGCAACCTTTCGTTGTTTTTCAGTGCAAAAATATTTAAAAATGAGATAAGATTGAAAGGATTATCTGGAATATGGATGAGTCAGCAGGATAGCAGAGTCAACAGTGGTTGTTGTTTTTGTTTTGCTGGTTCAGCCAGAGGTGTGGGAGGTCAGAGGTGACGAGTTAGTCAGTGTTGGTTCGTAGGAGTGCTGCTATAGATCAGGGAGGAGCCAGCAGGAATGTAAACAGAGCACATCTGAGCCTGCTGATCTGTAGGAGGAAACCTGCTCGCAACATCACTTTTGTTGCTGGCAGGAGCTCATTCTTACGGCTGATGATCCTCCTCCTTTGTTGCTGCTCAGAAATATAGTTGGAGAAGTTTCCCCATAAGCTCATTAATTTACAACGCGGAACTACTCGAGCAGGTGATAATGCATCAGCAGACATGGGGACATGTTTACTCTGCCTCTGAAGCACCAGAGAGGCTGTGAATACATGCCTGTGTGTGCGTCCTAGTCCTCAATGGAGCATGGCTAAATTTAGCCCGTGAGATCTAAATAAATAATGAACAGAGCTTCAATGTGTGTGTGTGTGTGTGTGTGTGTGTGTGTGTATGTGTATGGGTGTATGTGGGTTGGGACAGGGGGCCACAGACGTGGATTGCTGGGGGGGGGGCCGGAGGGGTGTGTGCTCCAAAAAGAGGAGGGGGTAGGAGGCATTGGGTTCATTTCCCTGCTGGACCACTGCTCCCTTCTATAAACCCCACCCCCCAAATCTGTCTGCCCGCCCACTCTTTTCTCCGATCAGCATGTGTTTGAACAGCAGTGTGTGCGGTGAGTGCCCATATGGCACATTGTCTTGTTGCACTATTGCTTGTTCATACAATAATAATAATAATGTTTATATGTGCACCTGGTTGCTAGTCGAAGCCGTTGGTGATTCAGTTCTCCTTCCCGGCACATTGCAGTCATTCTCACCCAAGTGTCTTCCTCTACAGGCCAATGCCTGGCCCAGCCCCTCCAGAAACACACACACACACACACACAGATTGTTATGGACCGGTGGTCCCATGATCTCACTGCATTCCCAGTCCTCTATGTCAGGTTGATTCTGTTACTGTGGTTTTTCCACCTCTTCCAACCCCCAGTGTTTCTATTTTCTTCTATCTCAATGGAGAGACAGAGCTAAGCCAGCACAGGTGGCCTCAGGAGGAAAAACAACTATTTTATCTTTCAAGTTAATTCTGTGGTTCCATATTTTTGCTTATCAGACATCCCTGAGGATCTGTGGAAATGCAATCAGTAAGTGTTGGGTCAAGTGTCTATAAAGCCCAAGTATTGACATCAGCCTCTGATTTTCCTTTACAGCGTGTATGTATAGGCCAAAGACAGAGAACAGATGTGTGTGTGTTTATGGAGGGAGTAGTTGAGGAGGGGGTAATAGTGAGGACTCTGAATGAAAGGTTTGTTTTAGAGAATGACCATCACATCCAGCTTTGTGAAAACAGCTCTTGTTCGTGGCTGGGGAAGAGGGAGAGGAGACGGCGACTGAGGGAAGAAATGCAGCCGTGTAGAGGGGCTTTGTGTGTGTGTGTGTGTGTGTGTGTGTGTGTGTGTGTGTGTGTGTGT